CTCCCTGGGGATGGCGGGGGCTGGGCTCTGAGGCGGGGGCGGGGCCCGGTTGGCCTGACCAGAACAGATGCCATCCATCTCCATCGCAGATGCCACCCAGCGCACCCCGGAGGAGCAGTTCCAGTACCAGTCCCAGCAACAGACCCAGCAGGAGACCATCCCCGCACCGACCCCAGGTGTGTTGCGATGCCGTTGCCCCTCGGAACCGGGGGGCTGCCAAGTCCTGTGCCACTGGCAATCGGGGTAGTCCTGCTGTAGTCGGTAGAGGTCTACAATAGCCGCACACTGGAACGGACCCACCTGCTCTGCCACAGCCTCCCTATGTGACCCTGGGGAAGTCACTTCATTCCTCGAGTCCTCGGTTCCCCCTCTGCACAGTGGGGGCAATGGCCCACCCTGTCGGGTGGAGTGTCATGAGGAGCTGCACCGCCGAGGCTCGGATGCACTCAGACAGAAGTTCGGGTGGGACCAGTTTGCAGCCTGTTCCCCACCTGGAGCTGGCGTCTCAACTCCTCCTATTGCAGTGTTTCTTAAACTTTTTAAGACCAAGGATCGCCACAATAATTTTTTTTAATGAGGAACACCGAGGATTTTTTGTTGACAAAAAAAAAAAAAAGGTTGGAAAAAGGTTGCCTGCCCCTTTAAGGGTAGCTATTTTGAGCTCTGCTGTTCTCCGCGGCACACCGGTGTGCCACAGAACACTGTTTAAGAGACACTGGTCTATTGTCTTTCCCTGCAGAGCTTCCCGAGACCGAACCCACAGAACCTGGGCCGCTGGGTAAGACCCACAATCCTTTGCTCTTCTCCGAATAATCGGGCGACTCTGGGCGTGGCACCTGTCTGGAGTTAGCTCAAACGGGGGGGCGGGTTCCTCCACCTTCTCCCTAGAGAGACTCCCCCGGTCGTGCCAGGGCCCAGAGTTCGACACAGGCCAGCTGAGCTGGCAAAGCCCCACTGAGTTTCTGACTTTTCCCCACAGACACCAGCTGGCTGCGAGCTGGTAACCCCTCTGCTTTTGGGTTAGGGAGCGGATCTGTATGTATAGGGCAGGGGTGGGGGACCTGAGACCCAGGGGCCGGATGCAGCCCCCACCGCCTGGAGCTGGTCCCCCAGGCTCAGGGTTCCCCCCCACAGCATTGGGGAGCCTGTGCTAGTGCGCCAGCCCCCCGCCATCCCACCCTGGGGCTGGAGCACACAAATCTACTAGCGGCCCTGGTGAGCAAGGGGAAGGTGGGGAGTGTCCATCCCCTTCTCAGCCGGGGCCACGTCAGTGGGGGTTGGGTTTTTCTTTTTTGCTTCTCACTAGTGAGCGGCCCCGACTGATTTTTCTGTGGGCCAGCAGGTTCCCCACTCCTACTTTAGAGTCACCGGGCCCAGAGGCAGTTGCTTCTTTTGCCCTCCTCACCTCGGTCTGTGGGCCCACCTCTTCTGCTCTCAGTTGTCAGGGGACAGTTCATTCAGATCCTGCTTAATCAGTACTATCTGCTATATCTCCTTGAAAAGCATATATATTTCTCCCTTTGCTGCACCATTTAATTTCTCTACGTCATGTCATGTAACTCTGTAACTCTGATATGCTTTGTTTGAAACATGTATTAAATTCATCCCTTACTATATTTCCCTCCCCCCCGGCATTATTTTTCCATGCTAGATTAGCTAACTCTAAAGCACGATTAGAAGCCTCCTCCTGCTGCTGCTACTGCTATCCCATGACACTTTTCAACTGTAGCTCTCAAAATACTCTCCCTAGAAAGTCGGTATCATTATCACCATTTTTTTTTTACTTTCTAATTATCTTTATAAACCAAACTTGCAATCTCCTTAAAAAACAGGAGCAACTTTGTTTGACAAGACCTGATTTCCATAAAATCATGTTGATTGGTAGGAATTATGCAGACATCCCTTATGTATTTCCTAATTGCAGCCCGCATTGGCCATTTCATGATTTTGCCCAGGATTGATTTCAGGCTAACTGGGTTATGGTCATCTTGGTCCATTTTCCCTTTTTAAATATTTGCACAACACTCGCTTTTTCCAGTGCACTAGAACTTTCTCTGTATTCCAAAATTTGTCACAAATCAATATGAGTGATTGAGAGAGTCTCTTGGCCAATTTTATAAAATCTCTTTGGTGCAAATTACTCACTCTTGCAGATTTAAAAATGTTCAATGACTAGGTTCTATTCCTGGCTCAGTCACTGGTCCTCTCTCTTTCTGATTTAATCACTTGACCTGCTTCTATGATTCAGTGTCTCAATCTATAAAATATGAGTGCCAATGCTCGCTGTAATTAGGGTGAGAAAGTGGAAAATTCTAAATTATTTTAAATAGTTTGCCTTTAAGGAGCATCCATCTGTCTATACGTTGCGCTTAATGGGCTGCTTTTTTTAATAGTTGTTTCCTTAGTTGTTCAACCCTATTTTCTTTCATTTTCTTGTGGAAGATCAATTTTAAAAATGAATTCAGGATCTTGGATATTATGAGTCATCATTAATTTCATCTGCTTCTTCATTTCTTAGTGGACTTAAACTCTCTCCAGCACTACTTCGCTCTGGTACATTTATAAAATCTCTTATTTCCCTTAGGCCCATTAGTAGCATTAACTCACTCTGCATTCTTTGCTTTTCCCTTCAAACCTTAGCTAACTCCCATCCTTTTCATTTATAATACAGCTATTTTTGTAAACCTCAGATCTCTGAGCAATCCCCCATGACATACATTGGCTGCTTCTTGTTTTCTGGAAACTATTTGCTTAGAAGAATTTTAGCCTCTTGTGCTAAAATTAGAGTGGGCTTGATCACATCCTCTGGCACGAGAAAGCTCTGGGGACAGGAAAGCTCTGTGAGGATCCCCTCATGAACATTCCTTGGGCTAGTCGTGGGAGGGTGGCTGCCCCATGGAAAGGATAGCAATTCCACTCCCCAGAGCTTGTGACCCACAGGAACTGGTGAGGCATTTCATGGCTCTCTGCCCTTCTCCTGCTCTCAGAAGGTCAGCATGGAGAGGGGAATGTGGCAAAGTGAATATGGCTTCAGACAGCTCTAACCTTTTCTTGGCTTTTCTAGGGGGGTTGGAAGGCAATGATGTGCATTCCTGTCACCCTTACTCTCCTCCAGCTGGGTGCCCAGCCTTCTTCTACATGAGTGAGTTTTCATACTCCTATTCATTGCGCCGCACTCACTAGTAACCAAACCCTGATGTCCTAACTCACTTTTATGCTATTCTAGGCCCAGGTGACACAGGGCCCCACAGGGCAAGTGGTGGCTTTTCGCTTGGGGTTTTGTCTGAGCCAGGGATGTTACATGTTGGTTGACTGAATAGTCGAATTCTTATCGGTTGGTTGACTAGTCTATAGTCCCTGGGGGTGGCAGCTAGTGCGCTTCAGCCTCACTCCTGGGGAGCGCCCTGCTACCCTGTGCTGCTGCCGCTGTACCCGAGGCAGCAGCACGAGGTGCCAGGCGGGAGCGGGTCCGCGAGGGGAGCCAGTTTAAAAACCAGCTCCTTTCACGGACTGGCTGCCTGTCGCCCTGGGACGCTACCTCCAGGAAGGAGAGCGGGGTGGCAGCAGCCCCTGTCTAGGGGGGAGCTGAGCTCCTGGACTTGCCGTGAGGCAGGACTGAGCCGGGCTACCTGCCTGCCCGGCTCCTAACACGCTTTAAATGCAGAGACACCGCCGGGGTAGGTCCTGGACCCAGCATGAGCCAGGACTCAGCTGGGCAGCCTGGGAAGGGGGAGGGAAATGCGTGTGCTCGGTAACATTAACCTATAAGCTTTTGCTTGTCGGTTAATCAGTTAATCGCCAGCCCTATTACAGCTCTAGTGCTGGCCTCTCAGCCCCTGAAGCTACGGCTGCACTGCGGTTTTTTGGCAGACGAGGCTATGCCAACGGTGCACTCATTTGCATAGCGTCTTCCGATTCTTTTGCGGAAGAGGCTTTGTTTTTGCTGCTAAAAATCCCCGTGCCATTTGTCGGGAAAAAACCCTTTTGCCCAAGAGCCTGTGAACCTCCATGTTTGAGGCATAAGGGAGCTTGTGCAAAGGGGTTTTTTTCCCCCGACAAATGGTCCCGGCTACATGGGGCTTTTTAGCGGCAAAAAAACCTCTTCCGCAAAAAGAATCGGAAGACGATATGCAAATGAGCATATCATTTGCATATCCTCTTTCACAAAAAACCCGCAGTGTAGACATAGCCTGAGAAAACAGTTAAAAAGTGACAAATGTTTTTTTAAAAATGTGAAAAGGAAATTTTGTTTCCTTTTGAAAATTTTCACTAAAAAGTGATATTTTGGTTAAAAACACAAAAAGAGAAAAGTTAAACAGAACTCCTCCCCTTTCCAGCCCTCTGGCCAGTCATTCATTCTTCTGCAGCCAGTGCCAAATAAAATAAAATGAAGAAAAAAGTGGGAGAGAGGAGAAAACCAAAATCCTCAAATTTCCGCTTTAAATGCAGAGACACCGCCGGGGTAGGTCCTGGACCCAGCATGAGCCAGGACTCAGCTGGGCTGCCTGGGAAGGGGGAGGGAAATGCGTGTGCTCGGTAACATTAACCTATAAGCTTTTGCTTGTCGGTTAATCAGTTAATCGCCAGCCCTATTACAGCTCTAGTGCTGGCCTCTCAGCCCCTGAAGCTACGGCTGCACTGCGGTTTTTTGGCAGACGAGGCTATGCCAACGGTGCACTCATTTGCATAGCGTCTTCCGATTCTTTTGCGGAAGAGGCTTTGTTTTTGCTGCTAAAAATCCCCGTGCCATTTGTCGGGAAAAAACCCTTTTGCCCAAGAGCCTGTGAACCTCCATGTTTGAGGCATAAGGGAGCTTGTGCAAAGGGGTTTTTTTCCCCCGACAAATGGTCCCGGCTACATGGGGCTTTTTAGCGGCAAAAAAACCTCTTCCGCAAAAAGAATCGGAAGACGATATGCAAATGAGCATGCCATTTGCATGTCCTCTTCTATAAAAAAACAAAACCAAAACCGCAGTGCAGCCGCGGCCTGAGACGCGCTGTGGGCATGCCAGGCCTGACGCCTGCGCTGTGCCAGGGGCTGGGCTTGCACTCATGCAGCGGGGGGGGCGGTCCCCCTTGACAGCTGAGTCATTGCCCCGCATTCCGCAAGGGGGCGCTGTTGCGCTTGGAGGTGCTGTGGGAGGCCTAACCCTACCCGCCCCCCTCCCCCCCCCGATCCAGTTTTAATTGGTGCTAAAGAGCTGCGTGTTCCGCTCTCGGCTGTTCTGCTGGCTGTTAAACAGCTGCGCCGTGCCACCCTAGAAGTGGCTGCATTTCCCAGCTCAGCTAAGCAGTTCTTTGGCATCCTAGGGGACAGGACATTACTGCTCCTGCCACTACCCCCGCCTGTGCAGAGTCCGGTGGGGCAGAACCAGCAGCCAGGGCAGAAGGAGGGCGGCATGGGGCGTGCTGGCCCTGGGGCCCTTAAATGAAGCTGGGGAGGGGCCTGTTAACCCTGGTCCCTCCCTTGCCCTAGCGCTGAGTTTGTCCCAGGAGCCAGGCTCTGTCCATTCGTGCCAATGGGGATTGAGCCTCGTCCCAGGGAAATAGCAGCAGCTGTCAGCAGCGGGGCCAAATTAACTCTCCTGTAGGCCTGGGGCTGTTGGCTTTTGTGGGGCCCCTGCGGGCTTGGGGGGTGGGAGTCGGTTCAGGGCTAAAGCATGGGTTTGGGGTGTGAAAGTGGGCACAGCTCCGGCTGGTGAGGTGGATGGGGCAGGGGGTTGGGGGGCAGCGTCTGTGATGGAGGATGGCTGTAGGAGGGGGCTCCAGGCTGGGGTATGTCAGCCGACGGTCAGGGCAGTGAGTGGGGTGTGTGTGTGTGCTATACACCTGAGACTTCAACTGCTGAGACCGGGG